GGCGGCGGCAGCAGCGACGACCCTCGCGCCCGCAGCCGCCACTCGTATCACTGGTCAGCGCAGGTGAGACAGCTTGCACGCCCTCGGCTAACGCGTAGCCATCACCCTCAGGCTTGGCTGCAGTCTCAGGTCTGAGGCCCACCTACGCGCAGATGTTTCTTACCCACCCCTCCCGCTCAAAATCGTTTTCGTTTCTTCTTCCATTCTGGCCCCGTCCCCCTCCCCCACCCCCTCCCACACCTCTTCCCACCGTGGCCAAGGCTCCTCCCGCAGCCCACATCCTATTAAACTCTCAAGCCCCCCCTCTCTCTTCCAGTCCTGTCTCTCCTTCTGACCCTGCTCCCCACTCTCATTCTGCGAACATGAAGCTCGGCCGCAAGGCCAGGAAACCCAGTCGCATAGGAATATCCAATACCTCCCGACTGAGTGAGGATCCACATACCTTGATGGCCGCGCCTTCCCCTTTTCTCTCCCCCTCACCATCTCCTTCAGCGACGAGCTTTGCAGATTCACAGCATTCCTCTCACTCGTTGTCCGGAAAGATATCTCTCAAGCGCAGCCTGACGGCTGGTGGTTCTGCTGTAGTCTCCACCATCGCGACGGCTGTTGAGCGGGCACGTCCACCTACATCTCTTTCTCGTCGCCCTTCCACCTCACCAGCCACAAGTGCATCGCCTTCCTCCCCCATCCGCTTTGCTCATCCAGATCAGGACAGCCCAACACTGTCCGACGCGGACAGAGGCGTTGATGGAGACTACATCTCGACCGCGGAGCTTACCCTCTGCCATCCCAACACCCCGGAGGCTGATGACAGGCCTCCTGCGATAGAGACTCCCGTTTCCAGTACATTCGGACGGACGAGCGGTCCAGAGAAGCTGCAGCTCGACCATAGTCCCGAGTTTTCCTCTACTCTGATTAACATCGACAAGCAGCTGCAACATATTTTTGATGATGATTGTCGTGCTCCATCGTCCCCAGCAGACGCATCTCATGTCACCTCGCCGCCATCATCTGCGCCGTCGCCGCGACCATTGCCATCGCCACCGCCCCCTTTTCCTCTCGTCAAGCTGTCCTCCCCGAATCCCTCCTCTTCGTCCCTGCTCTCACCTTCAACCATCTCGCGTCTTATGCCAACGGTGGTCTCGAAGGATAGCCTCGAACGACCACTTCCTCAACGTAGTGCATCGTTGCGCAACAAGAGTCCCGCTACGTTCACCAAGCGACGCCTCAGTCTGGATATCCGCACACTCTCAGCCGAGTCGGGCAAAGGTGCTCGACTCCGGAAAGGTCGATCTATTCTTCTCGCCAGGAAGGTTTCAGCGGGCACCTTCGATGGCGACGATCAGGGTGCAGACGCGAGGGACGCGGATCGGCTCGGTCTCGGCGCGCCAATGAGCGACAAGCAACGGGCGCTGAATGTAAAAAGGGCCAAGAAGATGATGCAGGTGCGTTAGTCCTTCACGAGTTCTATCCCGCGTATTGTTGACCTCGTTGCTAGCTCTTCGGCGACGAACCTCCCAAGGAACTCTTTCAAGCCACGACGCCTCTAACCGGGGAGGATGCTTTCGACACCATTTCCATTCTGACAACGGTATCTGAGAATAGGCGGGATTCGCGCGCGACATTTGCCTCGGTCACTTCGAGTACCATATCGCTGACTGTCCATCGTCGCGTACGTGATTCTGTCCAGTCAATTCTCTCGGAACCGCCTTCTCCACTCGTTTTTACTCAGACTGAGGTTGCTCAGGGAGAGCAGAAGAATCTTGAGCAGGCAGTATTACTTCAGGAAGAGGCATTACAGTCTACTGATGACTTGCCAACCCATAAGGTCGAATCATCGTCAAACACTGAGGATCCTGGTTTGTATGCAGAATCAGACTCTGAGTCTGACACAGAGCTTCCGCCTCTACACCTCGCCCCGTCCGTTCTAGGACACGCTGGTTTTCATCAGCCTCGACTAAAACCCAGCATCCAGTCTATGGCCTCCATGGCAACTTATCACTCGCGCACCCAATCGACCCACTCCCAGGTCCCGCTCACCCCACGCACACCCCCTCAAATATCGGAACCGCTCCCATCGGTCCCCCTCCCACCGCGCACCCCGCCCCCATTCTCTAGCTATATGACACCCACTCCTGAGAACGCACCGGCAGAGCCCGCACATGAGCATGAACGGGCGCAGAGCCCTCCACCCGAAGAGTTCCGCGCACGTAGGATGCGTGCAGCGAAGCTTTCACGCTTCTTCGGTGTTGCGCCGAATGACCTTGCGGGAGTTCTTGTAGGACCACATGCGCCCTCGTCGCCCGCGTCGTTGCACGGTTCAAATGGCATGCATGGTATGACGTCTTCCCAAGACCTGGCGTCCACCGAATTTCTGCCAAGTTCCACGGCCTCCGACCGCTTAAATGCTAAGGAGTCGGGGCACGGACGCAATGCTTCGACTACAGTCGAAGTTGCCGCGGAGGTACCGCGCGTTTTCCGTCTCGGACGGTTGGAAAGGAAGCCGGTACAGGACCTGGATATGGCAGACGTCCTCGACCAACTCCGGCGGATGCGGTGATGCCGTCGATGTCTGATAGGGTCTTCATTTGCTGGAGAGGTGGATTGCGTTCCTGTGGTCGCGTTCGGTGCCTAAGCTCAGTGAGATTTTCGTGCTCTGATCTATCGCATCTCAGGGTTTGAATTGAAGCTACATTTGTACCATACACACTTTTCACACTCCTATTCCCTGTCTACCGTACGAATATGCTAGAGCTTATAGCACACATCACTATTCAATATTTATCCATTCTGGATTAGGCTACTGGCTGCTGGGCTGTTGTTACTTACGCTTAACTGGCAAGGGAGATTGCCTATTTATACTTATTACGTTGATTGGTTATTGTAGCTGCATCGTAATCGTTTGTAGGTGCAATCCATTATTGGTACAGAAAAGGTGTTTCATTGATACACAAGGTTCAAAGACTACACAAGGCTCTAAGGGAGTACAAAATTGCCGGAAGTTTACATAGACATATCGTCAACTATCTGCTTCGAGTGCTCCTTGGCCTCTTCGGAGTTGCGAGGGTTGGACATAGCAGCCTGCAACACGTAGGTACGAGAGCTATTCAACATTGAAACACGAACCTTATGGCCACGCTCCACTTGAGCGGCGTGAGCCTCGCTGCTGTTCGCCTCGCCACTTGCGTGCATCTCGTCGAGACGGTCTTGGGCACGCTGCTTGGCCTCCTCCGAGTTGTTCGGGTTGGAGACGGCGCCCTCTGCCAACGTGTCAGCGCATAGATCACGTTGAGATATAATGAACCTCACTCAAGCCGCGAGCAACCTGTACGAGGGGTAAGCTAATATGAGGTACGGAAAAAAAGAAATGAACGCACGTTCCCGGAGTTGGACATGGTTTACAGGTGCAGAAATACAAATATGGATGAATGAGCGATGATGGATGTAGAAGAGAGAGAGATTCTGGGAGGGAAGAGGACAGCTTGCTGGCTTTTTATACATCCGGCGGAGGCTGACGATGGCGGCAGAGCTGTCGAGCAAGCGTCAGGACTGTCAGCATCTCGTCAACGAGACCTGCCAAACCTACGCGTGACGTCAGAGACGAGCTGTCGCGGTCAGGTGACGGAGAGAGCCTCAAGTCAAACCAAGGCACTTACACCAGCGCACCAGCGCCGCCAAAACACCCTTTGCTCATATAATCTGGCACAGGACAATTCTGAATTCATATGTCAACCACCCAATACTCATCTACATCCCTGCTAGCATACCTCCCATCCTCATATCACAGTTCAGCATAATGTGATATGAAGGTGGGAGGTGCGCTGGCAAGAATGTATTGGGTGGTTGACATCCAGCTGTTGTCCTCTTGGATTTCCCTAGAAGAGGATTACCTGAAAAATAGATTGAATCATTTGAGAGTATGCAAGTGCTTCTTACATCCACTCTCATGCAGAGATTCCTTTTTATGATCTTATGGAAAATACTTACATCGCAACCACACGATTCCTGGACTTGCTCTGGTAAAACAGTTCTAAATGACCCATTGGTTGTATGGATGCACAATCTAATTTCTTACTGGGTTGTGATCAGAACAATCACAGCTGCCACAAGTGCTCAAAATGCAAACTTACAGGTCCACACTCACTGTCCAGTGCCCTGTGAGATTGTATTCAAACACAACTTGAGCACCACAGCAGCCCTGCATAGACTTGAATCTTGGCAGTCCCGATAGATGTCATAGCCAATGATTGGGGTTGTCAGTTGTGAGCAAACTTTCAGAATGAGAATTTGAATACCCATCAGTGTCAATGACTCTGCAGGATTCGGAGCCGACTTAGTACGGAGTCGACTCAGAACATTGATGCAATGGGCCACAGCAAATTTCGACACTTGGGTCTCTGGCAACGCAGGGCTCGCTGCAACAAGTCGCATCTGCACGTGATGGAGTAGAGTGGAGTGACGAGCACTTGACATCAGCGCCTCCAGCGCAGTGACGGCTCTGGCGAGGGTTTCCAAATCCTCAGTGGACCAGCAGAGATAAATGACGCAAATATAGCCACTGGAGCGTCAGGGAGATATATAAATGCAAGAGCAAGAGTCGCAAAACCCAATTAGAGACGACTCACTTCCGTTGATCACAAACAGTCGATCAGCATTCTGCGCACTGTTCAACACTCGACGATGGCTAATCCCGGAAATGTGAGTTATTTTACCTCTTGCATAATCTCCAAGCAGATCTTACGTTTTCCCAGGTCGCTCGCGGCCTGAGTGAGTGCAGCACAATTTCACTTCCTTGCCTCTTTTGTTAACCAGCATTGTAGAGGCTGCCATTTCTAACCCCAATAATTCTGAGGAGGCCAAGGAGCGCGCTTCCGAAAGGCTCCGGCAAATGCAGGAGAGCGGCGAGCTCGACTCTCAAGAGGCTCATGGTGCCAATGTCGCCATTGGCCACAAGGTGAGCCCTCCTATCGTGTCGGTTGCTGATGCTGAACCTACTTAGGCCGCGATTTCTAACCCAAACGTATCGGTCGAGGCTAAAGTGCACTCTGCACAGGCCCTTGACGATATGAATGAGTGATATGACCTACATCTCCACGTTGGGATGAGTCGAAAGTTGTACTTTAGAGTTTTATCCGTACCTCACCGTCATCAATGTAGTTGTACTGTAAAGTAAAGGCCTTCCGGAATTTGCGGGTAACCATAAGATGGTTGTGATGGCCGAAACCATGGGATGCTTGACCAAGTATTGCCACCGCGAGAAAGTGTACGCTACGCGTGCTAGGACAGCTGCTTCGTTAAATGAGATATAATTACATTGCGCCCGAGATGCAAGCGATCGCTGCTCGAATGAGGAGAGAAATACATTACTTCCGCAGTAGAATGTATATCGGGTCTCCAAGAACAATGCTAGTCATATGTCGGAAAGAGCCCGTCAGCGACATGAGTAGGCCGCCAAAAGAGGCATACGCTGTGCTAAAGGACAGTAGAGTCGAAGTTTAATTTTGAAAAAGTCTTGAGACCGAATGAGAGACTTACACGATCTCTGCTGTACCTCCATCAAATCGATACACCTTTACAAGGACGACGAAGTAATCAATCCGCCGCAAAGCAACATCCAGGACAGAAGGACTAGAGAATATGACTCACCTTCCCGTACATCACATACTCATAGTCCTCCTCTAGGCCCCTCCTCCCTTTCCCGTCTGGCCGCCACACATCTCTATCCTTGTCGTCTTCATCCGTCGTCCCTGGCGGACCGCGCGCCAAGGACGTAGCAAGCGCAAGTGCGAACGACTGGTCTTTTTGTAGTGGATAGAGCTCGATATTATAATCAAGCGTCAGATCCATGTCGTAGTTTTTTGAGTGCGCATATAGGCGCGAGACTGACGGCGAAACCAAACCAGTCCCGGTGAGTTACATGCAGCTTGCTTGAGGGGCAAATAGACCAACCTCTGTCAAATTTTTTACCCTCCTTGTCGATGGCATTGATCGTAAAAATATCATCGAAGACAACACTTGATGTGTTGGACGCCATATAGACAAGGTGCGGGGGTGAGTACTGTGAGTGGTTAAGTGGTGGAATTGGGCTCGAGGGTCAAGGCGCCTTGCTCGATCGCAGTACGCAAATTGCCGATTGGTCCGAATTCTCATTAAGTACATCTTCATATTGTGGCACGGCTGAAGCAAGCACTGATTGTAGTGCACGAGCGGGTACAGGGATGTCAATTTCGATATCAGATCATACAACCGTACGGACGTGATTCATAATGGATTCGCAGGCGCAGATAATATAATACAGATTATTTCGTGCTTCCACCCGGCGCCATTGTATTACTAACTTTGCGTTCCACGCACTTTCAAATCCAAGCACTTCCATAGCCCTTCTCGCGTCTCGCCAACAGACCAATTGCTCTCCTCGGAGGCACCGAAAAAGGGAGCCACACAAACTTTCCCGATCGCTTTGAACAGATCCTCCAAGATCCATGTCAACCGTGGACCCGTCAACTCAATGGCAGGCTCAGAATTGACCTCTAGCAAATGAACCTGATATTTGCGGGAAGGAGTAGACTGGCTCGAGCTGACGAGAAAGTCAACACCGTAAAGTTCGAATGCGTTTGGCAGAGGCTGTCCACAAAATGAGGCTGTTATTAACGTTCAAGTAGTAGTAGTAGTAGTACAAAACACGAACCTGAAAATGTACGCTCATGTCCAATGCAGCGTAGAATGTCTCAGCGAGAACGTCCGCGATTTGAGATTTTATATCCGCTACATCCTCAGCCGTCAGTACTTTCGGGAGGTCCGCCTGTCTGGGGTCTTGCGCTTTCCTAAGTTGCTCGTGTTGGCTAGCACGAAGCTGTTCAATGTCCATCACTTGACCCACGACTCGCGGTGCCCTCTGCTGGTGTGCTCTGGGATGAGCCTCTCCAGGTCGCACCGCTCCAACATGTGGCGAAGGAGGGAGGACATGGCACTCAACCAGTTCTTCGAGGAGCCGAACGCCTGTCTCTCCGCGCTCTGTCTGCAAAGATGTGTTGGTTAGATGCCGTGCCAGATTCTTATTGATTGATGCTTGTGAAGACTTGTCAGTAGAGACGACGGGCGGAGAGTATGACATCGCCGAGAATAGCGACAATATGCGGGTGTACATGTACACTCTGAGAGCCCCAGAAGCGACACAATATACGCGCAGATGGAACTATCGTTAAGTGAGCAGTATGGTCGGAACATACGAGAGCATTGCGCTGACTTTGTGACCGCGCAGATCTTCTAGTGACAATTTGAGCTCTCCCCCAATGGGGATTTCTCTAGGATCTAGTAGCAGTGGCGTGGATATATATTCCTACCGATGAAGATTAGCTACAACTAAGTTTTACGTACAGCTGCGCGCAGATATTACGCTGTGGCAAGCCACAGCGTCCATACGGACGAGTTTGTACCACATGCTGTATGCCACTGAATATAGCTTACCTGGATCACGAAATGCCGCAGCTGAGACGTTATAATAGACGTATCAGCATTCTGGTCTTCAACATCAACGTCCTGATCTGAATCGTCTGCCTCAAAACCCTCCAGGATAGTGGCGAGATCTTCTTTTGAGTGGAATAGTCTGATCCCCATACCTCTGTCTGCCATCCCGGGCTTCAGGATCCACCACTTGTTCGGGTCTCCCTGGTCTAGTTCTTGGGCGAGATCATACAAATCGTCGCTCCACAACTCATCGAGCTCGTCCGCAAAACTGATATCTATGTCCCAGGTCTTCGGCACGGCGCGCTTGAGGATAGATTCGGGGTGTTTTGTGAGATAGTTATGTATGCAGCGGGAAAGGTAGTGCTTCCGGATGAGAGCCTTGCGGATGATGTAGGAGGAAGAGAGCACGCGTGAGCCGGACGGGGCGGAATGGGTAAGGTCGTGGTCGATGGCATCGTACGTGGACCATTGGAGGAGACTGTGCGGGGATGCCTTGAGATCGGCGGTGAGGGCAGGGACGGGGAACGGCGGAGGGTCGAGAGCGGCGAGGGCGGCGAGGACGAGGGAGCGGGTGAGGGGTGCAGAGGGCCAGGACACGAACGCAGTGAGCCGGTCCATGATGGGCGTCGCAAGACGCGTGGGTGTGGCCTGTGATTCCATGCGCCTCGATCTGCCAGGTTGCCATTTTGTCCGACACACGACCCGCCCCTGCGCTGTCCAATCCCTCGCATGGGCACCGCATACTTCTTCACTCTCCAGCCCACCTTCACCCAGGGCCTCATTCTCGGCCAGTTCTCAGTTCTATTCCTGCTCATTGTCGTTCTCAAGTATCTCTTCTTGGATGGCGTCTCCGATCGCTCTTACAAGACACCCTCATACCAGCCAAAACCAGAGCCCGACGAGGAGGATGCCGTGCCCTTGCTTGCAGAGAAACTCGGTGTCCGGCCGGGGAAGGACGACCAGAGCGGGGGCGGCATAGAAAGTGCGGACTGGTTGAACGGCATTTTGCAGCAGGTGCGCACTATGGTATCCCTACAACAGCTTCCTAACTCATGCCCCGTGGCAGGTGCTGGATGCTTATCGAGTCAAGCTGCGCGATGGCTTGTCGGGAGCCGAGGGCGACGAGATTGCTCGTCGGCGAGTGGAAATCTATGCTAATAAAATGCGCCCGCCTGGCTTTCTGGTATGTCCCATTATCTATTCCTAGTCGTACATTTAACCGAGCGATGAAACCTTCTATGCTTCAGGATCCGATTAGAGTACATTCGGTAGATCTAGGTGCCTCAGCCCCTCACTTGTCTCGAGCTCGATTCAAAACCCAGAGCACCTCCGACGCAGATCCAGTACGTCTGTTACACTGCGTCACTATGTCCACTTTGTATTCTTAACGTTTTCTGCGACAGGCAATTGAATTTGACATGACTTATGTCGACGCGCTTTCGATATCTATATCCACTTCTGTATTATTTCATTACCCCTTCGCATCATTCGCGCGACTCCCAATCTCACTCACTATCTCCTTGTCCCGCCTGTCTTCATCCGTAAGCCATCTCTCAGCTGGTCTTTTTTGGTGAACGCCACTCAATCTCCGCCGCCATATCAGATCCTCCTGACGCCGCCACATCCCCACGCACAACACCCCACTATGACATTCAACTTTCCCTCACCTAACACCGAGTTCACACTCAACCTACAGACAAAATCCCTGATGGGGAGTCGCGCAAAGCTCGCTGATGTGCCAAAAGTACACGAGCTCATCACACATCAGGTAAACCGCTACTTATTGCGGTTTTGATCCCCTCATTGACTGTCTTTTAGATACGAAAAGTAATATTAGAGAAAGGTACATTGAAAGTCGTCTTACCAGGACTCGCAACTGTAAGTGAGGTTCAAGAGGATGTCGAGAACGAGAGAGCGACCAGGTCATAGCCGGCAGCTGCAATTTTTCAGACCACTGGTAAGAGTGCACTCCTCGCTTAGACATGTACGGAATGTACCGCAGTGATTATTGGCGACTATATACATATCGCATCAGACCGTATGCACTGTAACCTATCTAATACTAATGATATACAATCAATATATCAAATACGCAAAAAACGCAGGACATCAGCGAAGTACAGTGCTGAAGAATCCTCACGCACTACATGATAATTGTTGTTATTCATGCAGACATCTTTGCCTTCTATTTTGGCCGCTCTCCGGAACCTCCATTAGGAGTTCGTTTCTTGATATTCGTTGATCCCTCTTCAGGGACGGTGATGGGGTGTCCGTGCTTACTCCTTTTTGAATGTAGAGTGTTGTCTAGCGCATGATTAAAGTTCACGCATTGAAGGCCAATACATTGAACAGTCAGTGCGCCCTCGGCGTACATATTTTTCACCATATCCGTTATAATGGGTGGTACGAGATTTGGAGCTGACATCGTTCTCTTGAGGATATCACATTGGTTGGCGCTGGTGATTAGCACTTTGACATCGTACATACTTTGAATCCAAGTTCTTTGACATCGTTGAGCGTCAACGCTGTCATTTCGACCACCTCAAATACCCCATAGTAAAACCATAGTTTGTTTTGCCTGTGAAAAAACTCTACTCGAGAGTCCTGTCCGGGGACAGGCTTTGGGGAGTATTTCTCCCAAGGACCGCGCCCGTTATTCACCTTGGTATTGTATCGGAAGGATGGCAAAACCAAAAGGCAGTGCGACGTGTCATTCATGTGCCAGATCACTTCGTCAAATCCAGCATTCATGATTCGGCACGAACTGGAAGACAATTCAACATGAGCCGACGAATTATATCCTCATGCGATTGAAAGCCTACCAAAGGCGTTGGGCATCCTGTCCGAGCCGGTCGGCTCAGTGTATAAGTACGATGAAGACATATGGGAACCCAGCATGCCTGTGAGATACTGAACGACATTTCCGCAGAATAGTGTTTCCTCTTGAGAGGTTGTATCTCATTCGCCGCCTCTACGAGCTGAAGAAATGCACGTAGATCGAACTGAACATAAGGGTCTGAGTTTCGGTTGTGGCACTCTATAGTAATCGATACTTACTCGTGGCTCTAGTTGCTCGGTCAAGGCAGCGTCTCGCTCAGCAGTGACGATACTCAACTGCGCATAATTTTGCTCTAGCGACTGCTTATGATGATTTGCAGATACGTCGACGATGTTGAGAAAAACTCACAGCCCGTAATTCATTTCTGGTTTCCTTTATGTTCTTCTATTTCTCTCGGGTCGCTTTCAGTTTGATCTTCATTGCATCAAGTGCTTCAGCCTGAATACAATATCCTCCAATACCGGTCAAAATCTCCATGAGGCAACTCGCGTACATGTTCCTTTCGGCTATCTTCCAACTCCACCTGAGTGGCAGCCAGTTGAGCACACACCGTAGCGTAGGGCTACGTACAGTCATTGGATGAGCTGTAAAGTAAAGTATGCTCCTGCTCACATTACCGGACAACAGTTCAGATTTATGGTCTTGGCTATCAAGCATCGCTTGCACCTGGAGACGCAGCGTGTCGAGCTCCCGCTTCAGTTGTAAATTTTCCTCTTCGAGTTTTTTTATCTGCGTTTGCGACTCACGCAGCCCTTGGCCACTGGTCTTCAACTCCGTGGCGAGAAGTTCGATCATCTTCGGAACAAGAGCAGGGTCATTGGTCACAACGTCCATTTTGAAGGTTCACGAGATGACGAATGTGCGAGGATTACAATGGCAAGTGCTAGACGATAGTCACTATTCATGTACTGTCTTAGTCTAAGACAATGGGCCTGGACGCGCAGCCTGTCGAGCACTATTAGCAAGGTGTTGCAGTTGCACACATGCACCCAGGTGGCAACAGTGTGCAGCGCTTAATGCTGATTGATCATGAGAACGGGGATGACAAGGAACAAGTACATATGTACAACTCGAATACTCTCGAATAGCGCCGCATGCTGCGGCAAATTCCTTGCTAGGGTGGTGAATTGTGACGCACATTTCGTTTCGCGATAGGATAGTCTATCTACGTTTATCTATGCATAAATCTAAGTCACAAGTGTAGGCTAGTAATTTGTCCCCCGCAAGGCTTGTATCTTGTTATTATCTGTAATCGTCTGGTTTTGGAATTTTACCTCTCCCAAGGACACACATCACAGTAACAGACCTTGATGCCGTGACCAATGGCGTGAAAAGTGAAATTGTGGACATCCTGACAAACCAGCATTACTTGAAGCGCAGGAGTTGTGCAGCTCACTCAACCGCCAGCCTACATTCCCGTGATTCTCGGTCCCAGCTTGTTATCATGATTTTCACAAACAGCCTACAGCTGATCTTCCACTTCGCGTCTTAGTCGCGCATTCTCACCACGGAGGTCGTCGACTTCCATCGCAGACAAGACTGCAGGCAGCCTATTATTCTGTTGAATCATCATTGAGAGATGGTGTAATAGAATCACCTCATGTCAATGCGCAACCTCCTTCAGTTGCCGGCGGATGTCACGGTTGAGTAGCTGATTCCCAAGCAATTTCACGAACATTTGGGTTACGTCGGGAGAAAAGCCCTGGTCATCACAAGTTCGGAATGCCAGCTAGTAGAGAGAAACTAGTAGACAATAAATTAGCATATCCGAATCGACGCCGATATCGCGATGCAGAAGCAGCACACGTGCCATAAATCGAGAGCAACCTGTAACTGTACGGCCCACCTGTACCTGTACTTACACTGCAACCTCTGTGCCGAGCGCGACCTGTTTCGGACTTGTCTAGAGAGTGAGCCTTCAAGCTTCATATCTCTGGCCGCATCATGGAAGAAGATCCAGGTCCATCGACGCCATCTCGAAAGAGATCTCGCTGGGATATCGAGGAAGAAACTAGTCCGACAGAACAACCTCTGAAACGCCGTCCAAAGAGTAAACAGGTCAACGACACACCCGAGCCCTCATACTCTATTCCACACATTCTCCCCCGGTCCCAGACCGCCTCCCAAAATGTTCGACCGTCTCATAGTGCATATGTTCCCCCACGGACACTGCATCCTACGCTTCAGCCTTCACGCTCTGTGTACTGTTACGAGAGGCTTAACTCTATCGAAGAAGGCTCATACGGTGTTGTATTCCGCGCAAGAGACAAAGAAACTGGTGATATCGTGGCATTGAAGAAGCTCAAACTCGACGAGGAGAAGAACGGGTTCCCTATAACTGCTCTGCGGGAAATCAATTCGCTAATGGCGTGCAAGCACGAAAACGTTGTCGGGATCAGAGAGGTTGTTGTAGGGGACACTTTGACACAGTACGTTCTCCAGTGGGCTTTATATTTCGTACGTTTATTCTGATATACACTAGAGTTTTCATCGTGATGGACTTCATAGAGCACGATTTGAAGACACTATTGACCGTCATGCCATCACCATTTCTACAGTCCGAGATCAAGACACTCATGTTACAACTACTGTCAGCAGTAGCATATTGTCATGAACGATGGATTCTCCATCGTGACCTTAAAACCAGCAATTTGCTTATGAACAACCGCGGTACCATCAAAGTGGCCGATTTTGGTCTCGCCAGACGATACGGCGATCCAGTTGGCGTGGGTGGCTTGACTCAACTTGTTGTGACCCTCTGGTATCGGTAAGCACTTTCATTGTTCTGTACATGTGTGCAATACTATCTCTGCCTTTGAAACCGCAGCGCGCCTGAGATCCTCCTCGGCGCGAAGGAGTATTCCACCGCCGTGGATCTGTGGTCTGTGGGATGCATATTCGCTGAGTTGCTCTTGAAGGAGCCGCTCTTCCAGGCGAAGGGTGAGATCGAGCTGCTTTCAATGATCTTCAAACTGCTCGGGCCTCCGACTGCCCATTCGTGGCCGGATTACAGCTCACTACCACTGGGGAAGACAATTACCCTTCCTCCCCCCCATCCTCCACAGCTTAGACAGAAGTTTCAGTACATCACTGCTGCTGGGATTGATCTCCTATCACGGCTACTAACGTATGATCCTGCGAAAAGGATATCAGCTGTGGATGCTTTAAAGCATCCATATTTCAGGTGAGCTCACTGTTATATTTTATTCGAAACCCTCCTTAGTCCACTTCCAGCGAGTCGCCTTTCCCCAAGCATCCAGACCTATTCGGCTCATTCCCCTCTGCAGCAGCAGGAGAGAAGTATGTCTTTACACGTAGCCAAGTTTCTTTACTGACTGCAATTCATAGACGGAGAAAACCATACGAGAGCCCCCCTGCTCCTGTTCGTGCCATAGATCACAAACTTCTCACCGAGTTTGAACCTTAGGTTTGCCTGGGCATGGAATAGGTCTAGAGATATATTCGTGCATTGTGACTATACGTGACCGAATGAATTGTGCGAGCAATAGATACATTAGAATTAATCAAAATCTCCGAAAACAAGGGGACCGTGATTAATCAAGAGCCCAACAAATCTTCGTCTTGCAGCGTCGACAAAGCGTCGCGCATTCTCTTAAATCGTGCTCTCGTACGTTCCATGTCGCCGCACTTGTCATAATATTCCTTCACTTCTTCGAGAGTGAAACGGAATTCCTGTGCGATATCCCAGACGGCTTGATCAAGGACGTGTATTTCGGGCTCTCCCATTTCTTCTGCTGTTTCATTCACCGGACTGCCGCTCTTGCTCCTGCTCCTAGAAATCCTCATGAATACAATCAAGGGTATACATATGGGTAACTCACGTTTTTCGTCTCTTCTTGCTCGGTTCTTGCTCGCTGTCCTCTTGCTTTTTCTTTGCCCACGTGGGTTGAGGTGCATTGGGGTCTCCCTCGCGTATCTGCCACTCACTCTCGTCATCTTCCAGCTCCTCGGCAATGGCCTTCGGACGCTGTGCATCTGTGAAACCAATACTTGCTGGCATCGACGGAAACGTTGGTGAAGGGCCGGAGTATATTGTTGGAAATACGGCTGGGTTGGGGACAGCTTGTAGAACCCCAGCAACAACGGGCATTGGAACTGGCGGGAAGCTTTCGAGCTCTTGCATATCATCTTGTTGATTTGATGGTCCTGCACCGTTGACATCCCCAACTGAGTCGCCACGAGCTCTCTTGCGAACGCGTTTGGGCTTCTCTTCGGGCTTACGGACGTACCCGTACTGTCCTTTCTCTCCATGCGCAATTTTCTTTTGTTCTACGATATCGGAAATTTTTGCATCGAGCCTCCCAGAGTTTTTCTTATAACGTTCTCGCCAGGATTGCCATGTGTGACGAGTGACCCAAGCATATTCGGGATCACTTGCCTAGGTGACGTGCGGAATGTCAGCCATGGAATTCTGAGTGCAAATTGTACTTGCGCACCATCTCACAGAGTTGCTGATACAGTCGATTTCCTGTACGCCCACCGGTTTCTTTATACGGGATTTTAGCAGCAATCCAATTGCACAAATGTTCCTCGTCCTGCTCAGTGAATTGTGTACGTCTGCAAAAATGATAATAATAAAGATTCACTCATGAGAGGTTTTTCTTAAGCAGAATCCAACACGTACTCTTCTCCAGGACGTCGGCCGCCAGGATTTTTGTAGACGACTGGCGTATAGATGACTTGGCCCTTCTCTATACATTTCTTAACCCACAGATAGGACTCTACATATTTCTCCGGCTCTCCTTGATATGTTTTTACTAGATGTTGAAACACTTCAGTATTAGGGTCTGCGAGAACAACTCTTGCGGATTGTGCGGATGCAGTGGGATCACCGCCCGAGTGCTGTTGGAGAGCAACGTAATACCATTAGCGTCAAAATCATAATATGGTGGAAAGGAACAAATAACCATGAGCAAATGTCATGGTTGAAGGATGCCCACCATAATGCGAGCGCTTAGTGTGGCTCGAACGTTGATGTTTGCGATGCTTGAGTCAATATGCATCCTAATAGGTTGTCCTTCATGTATAAATATTTGCTTCAAGAGCATTCCGTGAATTTTGCAAGCCTCGACAAACGTATAAGGTACAAAGAAGCGTTCCGGGCGGTCAGCGGAGGTCCAGCAAAGGCGTAGTCGCTCCTCCTCTTGAGTACCGGGTTGAATGAGCACATAGCCAGCGCGTGGCATCTTCGCTTCTACCCTCCCACCGAGTGCCTAAGAAAACAATGTCAATGCCATAATATGTCTTTGATGAAGAAAACCGACCGCGATGGTTTCACAGACGTCTGCCTGTATTTCCTGGAGGATATCCTTCTGGATGAAAAACTTGATGGCGAGACCGTTCCCATCCTGAAAGATAGGCTTGGATGCGATATGAGTACGGAGGAAAGCGGAACACGATGGAGAAGGAAATAAGGACGGACCATGGTAACTGAAGAGAGGGAGGGTCAAAGGGCGGGGAGTAACCTCGTGCGGGGGTTAGAGTTTGAGCCTGGTTAGGGTCGCCGTTAGACAATCAGTCACGTGACATTATAACGGCATACTCTTCTCGTCCATACTTAGACTCCTTCTCGGTATGTAAGTACATTAAACTGTGATGAAGTTGTATTGCATCCATATCATTCGTATACGTATTTTTAGAAGCGAATGTGTCGTTACATATTCACGTTAGTTGGTTCACGGTCCACAGGCCTCCCGTTGGCAGTCCAACAACTTATAGATACTGTCATATTAGAGCGAACGATAGTACGTACATGCACGAATTTATATAATCAATCAGTGTTACTCAAGGACCTTTCCTGGGTTCATGATGCCGTTGGGGTCAAAGAGGTTTTTGATCTTCCTCATCCACTCGATGCTGACCGAGTTCTTCGAATATGGCAACGCATGCGTCTTCATAACACCAATACCATGCTCTGCGGATATGGATCCTTTGTATTTCGCTAACGCATGTGGCTATGAGCCTGAGAGTCTAAGAGAGGAGCTGGATAGATAACATACCAACTAGCTCATACACGAACGGCTCCAATGCAGCTTCGATTTCTGGCGTGTACGCCTCGGCAACCACATTCAAATGTAAGTTTCCTACAAAGGCAACGAGGCGCATTCAATGGTGACGACCGAGTCAATTGCAACAGCTCCTTACCATCACCAACATGACCGTATCCAACAACATGCTTCACTGCATCAGGATGTAAGAGGCCCTTAGATCGTAGGTGCTCCCGTGTCGTGTCAATGACTTCCTTGAACTTGTGAAGTGGAACGGAGATGTCATATTTATATGCTTTGCCTTCCTTCGACATAGCCTCCGTCAATCCTTCCCGGATTGCCCATAGCGAAGCGAACTGAGCAGGGGATGTCGCAAGGACACCAGAATTGATGAGGGAAGGCTCCTCCTCCATGAGATTCTCCAACAGTTTATTGAGTTTCTGTGACCACTCATTAGTCATGTGAGGGGGATTAATTAGGGCAACACCTACTTCTTCGTCATGCTCTCGATTGCTTCCACTTGTTTCGACTAGAACGAAGCACTCTGCGCCCTCTACTTCTCTGTCGTCCAAAGCTCGGCCTTGTCCGTGCTTTACTGCAAGGTCGTACGCCCTTCTGTCAATAAACTCAAACGCCGAAAGAATTTCTGACAATTGCCGCTTGACTTCCTTGTAAAGGGGAAGAACGTTGTCGAAAGCAGGTAGGGAAAGCATGACGTTATTAGATGCATGCGGGGCGGCGGCTGTAAGTATGGAGACACCAGTCACAATGCCAAGGGTCCCCTCCGCGCCAATGAACAGCTGCTTCAGATCGTAGCCTAAAAACAACTTAGACTTACGGCTGTGCAGAAGACTAATTTACAAACCAGTGTTATCTTTGCGCAGAGTAGTGAGCTGATCGAGGATTGTACCGTCTGGCAAGACGACCTCCAGTCCTAGTACAGACCCATGAAGAGAACCATATCGAAGTAATCGTAGTCCACCTGCATTAGTGGACACATTGCCACCAATCTGACAGCTTCCCCGAGAGATATTCGGTGACTGTCACAGGACTCAAACTACGTCGAGAGGACACACCTGCCTTTTGCCCCTAAATCTAACGGTACGACGTGATTAAGCGGTACCAGATAGTCTGACAACGATTGGAGGATGCATCCTGCATCTGCTACAAGGATTCCTATAGAGAGCCAACAATTTATCACCACTCTGAGAACGTCGCGATTGCGGGACATGCGCACCAGACGCATCGTCAAATGAACGTATGTTTGACATGTTGCCCAGATTAACAACTAGCTCGTCCTGGATGGGCACACTTCCGCCGACGAGGCCAGTGTTTCCACCTTGTGGGACTACAGCGATGCGGCGTTGGTTGCACCATTTGACAATCTCGCTAACTTCCTTAGTACTGCGCGGCTTCAGGACAGTCGTCGAACGGCCATGATACTTATTCATCCAGTCATTATTAAACGGCTCGAGCTCTGAAGCAGGTGTAATGGATGGCGAGAGGGTGGAGAGAATAGCGGAGGGGGGGAGGATCTTGGAAAAATGAGCAAGGTCAACTTCAGATACGGAACTATACTGAGGAAGTGAATGTGTCCATCGACGGAAGGGGCGCGTAAAAAGAGCTCGCCGACAAAGATGACGAGGAGCGTACATGCTACTCGATAAGTTGGTGGTTGGTGGTTGAGCTCGACCCGCTATAGCCGCTTAGCCGCTCGTGGCTAACCTCCGCATGGCCGCATCGCTTGAACACTCGCGGACCGCGGACGGACCGCATATACTCTACATCGACGTTGACTATTCACTTCTTCACGTCTATGACAAACACTGGCGACGGCTCTTCCGAGGACATACAATTCTTCGGCTTCGAGCGCACGGACATCACACAAAGCAAGTACCACATGCGGAAATTCGACGAGGAGGGGGTGATCTTTACTGGCTATCGCAACTCGAAGGATTGGAGCTCACATCGGCAACAGGACCGCGACATGTCATTTCCTCGGACGAAACCCACGGAGATAATCAGCCTCCTCTCTGATGAGGAGGATGAAGCCCCTGCCCCTGCCCCTTCCACTTCTGCGACAGTCCCTCTCAGGCAGTCAAACTTGAAGTCAGCTACCGCTCCTGTGGTCCAGAAAGCTGAAGGTGGGTCTTCGGCTCGTAAGCACGTGTCTGTATCTCGGCGCGTACCCTGGCTCCCATCTGCATCCTCTCAGCTTGTGCCACCATCCCGATCTTCTGCATCTCGAGAGATTCACATTATAGAATCCAGCGATGAAGATTCACCTCCTCTGGTATGTCCCATTCTTAATATCTCATTTTCTGTTTCACAAAATTGGGATGATTTTTTGAGATACTTCAGACTCTGGATGGGTGCCCAGTGGTGCAAGTAGATCCAACACATCCAGCACATCCTGATGCAGAAAATTCAGAGGAAGAATATTCTGTGATCCACTCTGCACTTGATCTCAATGTAGAGTCCAATGTATGTTTCTTCAATTCTTTTTATGCTTGCCAAATAACTGTTTGCCTAGTGGACAGGAAGAGGTGGAGGAAAGTCTGTGATAGACATTCAGAGCAATAATTTGCCTGATGTGGCTGCACTCACTATCTCACCAAGTTCACACAAGATATCAGTCTGCAGCAGTCAGACATATAGCTCTATCCACTATGAGGATATGGGCTTGTTAGGAAACACAGATTCTTGTGTTTCACCTAGCCTTGTGGAAGAGTTCATTTGGACACAGGTAAGTCTTTTTATAATGCTCTGATAATATTATTTTTGCAAGCTATTTTTCTCTTAGATCTGTTCATCTCATTCTCTCATCCCAGTGGCAAAAAGAAATGATACCTTGAGCACATTGCTTAGTCTTCAATCTACTAATACAATTCCATATGCACCTGGTGGTCAGTACTAGTTAGGTAAATGGCCTTCTATATGATGATTTTACTTCTATCATTTTCTAGCTATTCAGAAAATCACTCAGTCTGGAGGTTTGATAGCTATTGCAAGTTCTGTCTGGAATGGTGGTATGGAAGGTAGGAAAATATGATTATAACATACATAATACTTTGACTGTGTTTTAGATGGTGAAGCTGGTCCTTACAATTCTGGTGGAGCATTGAAGGTGCTTGTTGAAGGAGAATGTAGGTATCACTATTGTTCTGTTTCTGTATCTAATACTCCCATCTCAGGTTATATACTACCAGCACATGAAGATCAAGCTGACATGACCCAAGGTAGAATGATGGTTTTAATCTCAATTACAAATGTACTGAATGAAGACAGCAACAAGATACTGTACTGTTAATGATGTTCAGTTCAATCCTGCCTGGTATGTTATATGGATTTTTGATTTTAATATTATACTGAAGTGTAATTTAGCCCATTGACACTTGTCTCTGCTGGAACTGATAGGGCTCTGCAAATTTGGGACTGTGAATCTGTTCTAGATGGCAAAGGCCCACAACTTATGGAAACAAGCAAGTGTTGATTAAAACTTCATGTAACATTTTTAATGATCTCATATTAGTGTCATATCCTTGCTCAATGGGTAGTATTTTGTTCAAGCCTGGAGAACCTTTATTAGCTATGGGAGGCTGGGATGGGTGTGTAAGCATCACTGTTTTAAAGCCTCAAATTAATGCCATTTTCAAAAGATGCATATATCTTTCACCTATCACTTTGAAAACAAGAGGAAAAGCTTGTCTTTATCTTGCTCCTGAGATTGAGCATGAGGTTGCTGATCTAGCCTGGGGACATTCTGCAACATCTAATCTGCTTTTTGCATCATCCTGCCCTATTGTGTCAAGGATGATGGATGACTACAGTGGACACCACAAGGCATTTGACACACTTACTGACCAAGTTGTATGTACCTTCAGTGTGTCAGAATCTGGAGAACAAATTGCTCTTAATGATGCTGGTAAGAGGTTCTGAAATATGTTGCTTTAAGCTACAGGGAGCAATGACTGAATTCTCTCACAGGGACAACTTTGGCTATGGCAACACACAGCTCAGAAAGTCTATCCTCACTCTGGTTATTTGATTGCCAACACCTTCTTTCTGATCCTGTTTGCAAGATTGATCTCGAGCCATCAACTTCCAACATCATAAGCCAAGTCTCGTTCAGCACAGGCGGTATCTATCTTGCCGTCGCACGAGCTGACAACACCGTCGTTGTCTATGATTCGAGATTTTTGAGTCGCGAACCCCTCCATGTTTTCACTCATAACCAGGGAACTTTGACATCGACCGGCGACTTTGGTGTTGTTGGATCTTACTGGATTGAGGGTTTGCGTGGAACAAGGTTAGTGACCGGCGGTGCCGATGGTAAGTGCCAGTTTACCTTACATGCCATCATGCATCATGATCGCTGCATTGTGCATAGGTTGCGTTCGTCTATGGGATGTCAGGACCGCAAGCGACGATCCGCTCAACGGAACGGCCATTGTGCAATGTGAATACGATATAGGGTACTTTACCCTTGGGGATCTCTCTCGTGGCGAGAAGCCGCTGGTTGTGTGAGTTTGAGAATAGCGGCCATGGAGCAGCTACTGATAGCCACATACAAATCTAGAGGCGAGAATTCAGGGAAAGTTACGATTTTCGACCGCCAAGAATCACAGTAGTTCGCGCATCTGGGTAAGCCGGAAACCATATACTCATTGGTGTCGACCTGATATTCCTGTGTTCAAGCATAGAGTCACGTCGTCTCCCATCGTGCAGTTGCGTACACAAGTGAGCGGATGCATCAAGGCATCGAAAGTTACTTTGTATATCATCGTCGAGTATACGGCAGTGCATGGCGCAGGTTGTCAAAAAAAAGCAATATGTTCCTATCATGCCTATGATACCGGAATCAAATAGCCAGTGAGTAGGGTCAAGCAGATAATACAGGAGTGAATCGGTCCACCCTAACAAGACTTTCCAACTCTGAGAATACAAGCTCGTCATTCGCAACCTCCCGCTGCAGCATCAGCCCCCACGTAATCTCGTCTTGATATCCGCTGAGTAGCCCCATCCCCTTCTCGTCGCGACTTTCCCCGTGCTCGCCGTAGCCCATGCCGAACATGAGTGTGGGCGACGTCGCCTGCGACGTGTCGAAGGAATCTTCTGCGTCGTCAACCATTTTCAGTGCTTCGATCGCGCGACGCACGCATATGATGAAGTAGACCCGCGTTTCCTGCGGCGAGTAGATTGTGAACTTCTTCACCAGACGCGTCAGAATCTTCGCGAACGCCAGCCTCCGGTCTGTCTTGATCCGCTTTTTCAGCTGCGGCGTGGCCAGGAAGGCGAGCGCGTAGATTGCCATGATGGTCTTCTCCACGTAACCGAGCCAGACGTCGCGCATGACGACTTGGAAGTCGTTGTCGGACACAGGCAAACGATGCACCAGAGACTCAACAAAATCCCACAGCCATTCCTCGGGGACAGCTTCGGAGAGCATTCGGCGGCTCTCGTCGGGCTGGAAAAGCCGCGTGAACGCTTCAAGCGTGATATCGGCGAGGGGCGGTGGTCTAGGCTGGTGCATGGCAGGCTGCAGACCCGACAGTATCATACTCGCGAACGGAGTCACAGACTCCACTTTGTCTGTAAGGAAGGAGGATAGCAGTTCGAACGCTCGTCGTGCATTAAGTTCACCCTCGGCGGGATTCGTCGGCGAGGAAAATTCAACAAAACCTGCGATATTGACCAGAATATGTAGTACATCCTTGCGTAGCGCCAAGAGGTCTTGAAGAGAAAGCTGTGGAGAGGCCGGGCGTGGCAGTAAATCACCCGGCTTGGATGGTGCCAGCTCGCACAATCGTAGTATGATGGTGAGAAGCCGGTCATGCGTTGCGAGGACCTCGTGGTTCTCGGGCACGACAGAAAGGTTTCGTAGAATGTTCAGGATAGATAGAATTATTTCTCCAGGGCGCGATTGAGGTCCGCAGTCATGATCTCTCGAGCCCTGCTTTGGCAGCAAAGATCCAAAGGGGCTTGCGCTGTCCTCCACTATAGCGTTGACTAGTTCGCGATGTGTTCTGACTCTGGCATCCGGCGCTTGGTCTGATTCGCCATTTACCACACCTTCGAAACTAACGTCCTCTAGCAGGTCGAGAACCTCTTCAAGAAGCTCGAGAGCCTGAGATATGGGGAAGCCAGTCTCCCTGTTCGGAAAGCGCAAGAGGGTCACCATGGTGAACGTAGTCAGCCCGTAGGAGAGCTCGGTAGATATTCGGGACCGAAGGGACATTGCCAAGGCTTCGACATCAACCTGGCCCCATTCGTTCAACTCTTTGAGAGGGCGCATAGCAGCACGGGATAGTTCATGTTGGATGGCCTCGAGGTTCCTACCCCCGGCAGTATCAAGCTGGCGAGCGAGGGGAACATATTCGATCCTCTGTCTCAGCGGCTGTCGAGCGGTGTGAGCTCCCGATGGGGTGGTACTTCCGTTAGCGAGTCCTGAAGGCGGCACGGAGTCTCGATCAAGTCCGACCGACTGTGGGCCCCGTCGTCAGCATCATCTAGAACGGCAAAGAATGGCTACTCACTGATCGTGTATCTGAAGCGTCTAAGGAATCAAGGGTTGCTGAGGAATAGAGGGAATATCATGATGTAGGACACTCACCTGTCTTTTGTCGCACACGTTTAGGATCCACTTCCTCCACTTCCCTGGACTTTCGCTTTCTACTTTCTTCTGTCTGTTGATGTTCCAAACCGTTCATTTCCTGCGCCAGGGCAGGAGTGGCGGGATTGCTAGCGCTCGACTGTGGTCCGGTCATTGGCTGTGGGACGTTCGGCCCGCCTAACATTGCAGCGGCGGACATTCCCAGGCTGCTGCTAGACAGGGTCTGAGCGATTTGGGGAATATGGACCTGGGTGGAGGGAGACATTTGACCCAACCCGCCCGCCGGGTCAAGCGTCTGCGAGGGAGCAGAAGAATGACTGATGCCGGGCACATTCACGTTGGACGTATCGGTTGGCATGCCTGGGAGAGCCCCCATCTGAGAGGCGCCAGGGATGGCATCGGGTACGCTAGCTTGGGAGGGTCCGAGGAGGCCTTGCTGTGCAGGGGGCGGGGCACGACCGGCGGCCATCATGGCACGGGCCTGCTGATCGCGCAGGTTGCGCCGATATGCTTCCTCGAAGGGGCCAATGATGAGAGAGTAGTATCGAGCCAAGGTGAAGGCGACGGACTGTTGGCCGTTGGGCTGGGGGTCGTGGAACTGTTCTGGGAGGTCGAACTGACGGAGGATGTTTGGCCATAGGCCCTGCTGGTCGA